CTACTAGCCATGGCCTCCAACCTACTAGCGATGGCCTCCAACCTACTGGCCATGGCCTCCAACCTAAGTGGATTAGTAGATGCCGTTACAGTAGTTAAGCCGCGGCTCAAATCGCAAAATCGCAGCGGCCTCTAAGACCTGGAGACGCACTTCTCTTTGGAGGCCATGCCGGACAATCCTGATCATCTCTATATCCTCAACGTCCTTTCAAGATGAAGGCAACAAACGGAATTTAAAGCAAACAAATCAAAATGAGCTAAAAATCAATGCAACTGAACGGTCAAATGCAATCGTCTCTCGTTCGTCTCCTCCACCACGTCATGAACGGTTGCGGTGTAGCGCACCTTCCAGCGGCAAGTTGTCTGATGTTTTAGACTTTCTTGCCGCGAGTTTTGAAACTGAACATAGGAGCACACAAAGGAGAAACATGCACTTCTCTAGGGGCAAAAAGAAATCCTTTCCATGTGTTTAAATGGTTAACAGGCCAGAAATCAGGCTGCGCCATGCTGCGCCGCTGGTCTGCTGCTCTTCTCTTAGTTAATGATGTCTGCTGCTCATCTGCTTTCACAGTTCGAGTGAAGGTGCGGTTCCTTCTTCCGCACTAACGAGCAGCTCTGCTTCTCCCTTCGTCTTATACAGCTGTACACGCTTGTACAGCTGTACATGCTGCTTTTTGTATCCTACCAAAGGATATCCTTCCACACATTGAGCTATTCTCAACTGAGCGATGCTGAGCGTATTGTCCCACACCTAGGCCGATTGGATCCTGTTTCACTTCAATCTGAATCTGGGTGTTTGCAATACTTGTTATATAGAATCAGAATCAAGGGATTCTGGTCATGTACGCACTTGCGCTGCCTCTGAAATTAGGATAAATCTTGGCCAACTTGAAGTAAATGTCGCTTTAGGGTGGAGGCCATTAGTAACAGGTGCATCGTTATCAGTAACAGGTCGCTCTTAGGTTCCTTTTGCTATTAGCAAATGTCTCTGTTTAAATCGTTCACTCGATGATTCTTTCACCTGCTTCGTTTGTTCGGTGACTCCGACGGTCCGGCTCATTCTATCCGACTGAGTGCTACCATAGACCCAGCTGTCTTCTTTTGGGTTGGATATTCTTCCTTGGGAATGTTATGCTGGTTTCTATGTGAAGAGGATGGACAGACAATTGGTACGATAACAAAACTTAAGTGAAGACCAATCAAAGCCGGTGCATCAATGACTGCCGTCAGCCGTTAGGATTGTCAAACCCAAAAAAAGTCATTGGTTGATCTGAGGCACAAAAGCAGGACATCGATTGTCAATGTTAACTCCTCGCAGAGAACGCTCCAACTCGCGGATTCTCCACTCCTAAGGCGAAAGCGGCGAAAGCGGCGAAAGCAATCAGAGACAAATCTAGTAGTAAGAATGCTCCTAGCAGCGATGCCAGGAGCCCCTAGTAGCGTCCTTGCTCCTAGTAGTAACGCCAAGGAGCCCCTAGTAGCTTCTTAGGCTCACACCCTTCCGGCTTTTTCGTCCGTGGGACATTTGCAGTCGACAGCGTCATAAGCACTCGGCTTGAGTCGCACCCTTGCCTGATTTGCTCAGCAAAAAGGCAGCACAAACACGGGTGACATCAGCCACAAGCACATGCACACCTCCTCTTTCTCTGCAAGGTCCAGTGCTTTCTCTTTGTCGCTCATGCCAAACAGAACAAAGATCTCATCTTCGTCCACACTTTTGAATTCAGTCACCTGAGTAAATTCACTCCAAGACTCATGGCATTTCTCGAAGATCACAGCTTTGCTCCCAGCCTCACATCCCATCTCACCTGGAAAGCGAGCAAATGAGAAATGACTCACATGAGAAATGGCCTCCAACCAAGAAGCGATGCCCTCCAACCTACTAGCGATGGCCTCCAACCTAATAGCGATGGCCTCCAACCTAATAGGGATGGCCTCCAACCTAATAGCGATGGCCTCCAACCTACTAGCGATCGCCTCCAACCTAAGAGTGATGGCCTCCAACCTAAGAGACATGACCTCAAACCTAATAGCAATGGCCTCCAACCTACTAGCGATGGCCCCTAACCTAAGAGCGATGGCCTCCAACCTACTAGCGATGACCTCCATCCTAATAGCGATGGCCTCCAACCTACTAGCGATGGCCTCCAACCCAATAGCGATGGCCTCCAACCTACTAGCGATGGCCTCCAACCCAATAGCGATGGCCTCTAACCTACTAGCGATGGCCTCCATCCTAATAGCGATGGCCTCCAACCTACTAGCAATGGTCTCCAACCAAATAGCGATGGCCTCCAACCTATACTAGCGATGGCCTCCAACCTAATATCGATGGCCTCCAACCTACTAACGATGGCCTTGGCCTCCAACCTACTAACGATGGCCTCAAACTAAATAGCACCGACTGACATGAGAAACTTCAAGGTTTGCCCAGAATGGAAAGTCATTTCATGATGTTTATTTTGTCTGAGATTGCAACGAATGTATTGCTTCACATTCTGTCTCACTCTTGCAGTGAAATCCTTTTCACTGTGGAACTGTTTCAGGCCGTTGCGTTGGCTTTCAGAATCTTCAAGGGTCAAAAGCAGCATAATCTCAGTTCGTACAAATGGTTTTCCAAAAAAGGGAAACAAAGGAAAAAGAAAAAGGCTGTCCTCCCACGTCATTCCTGGCTTCAAATCAGAAGGGCTGTTCTCTTCAGTTGGAAAAAGCTCCTGACAGCAACAAGCTTCTTCAGTTCTCATCCATGGCGCTAGTCAGCCACTATCTTTATCTGACTCTGGCAAGAAAAGCTCGGAAGCCACAAATCGTGCCAAAGTCCATCACTGCGATGCCTTCCACTTGGAGGCTGGATCATCAAGCTTCTGGTCAAACGTCTCGTCATTTTCACCTCCCACTCGATAGCTCATTCAGAAGGGACAAATGACAAATCTGTCAAGAAAACAATGTGATCCAAGCACACGTCAAGGAACTCATATTCACAGAGCAACACCCGGCCTTGTACTCGGATCGGAAAAACCAGTGCCTTTGCTCTGCACTTGAAGGAGCTCTCACTCGCAGCACGCTTGTTTCCCAGGTCCCCCGACGTAATGCCACGGCCTCAGGGTCACAAGCCATCACAAAGATCGGTGTTGCGTGAATTCCACGAAGGAAGTGAATGAAGTCTGAGCCAGCAGCCCATCATTTTTCACAACGTCAGCACCAAGGACCCGGATGGTTTCCTCCAATGCGCCCAAAGCACTCAAGGTTTGCCCTCAGGAAATGATATGTCGAGCCCCACCAAAGCGAACTCGACATCGCAGTTCGCTCGGACGCGCACCTGCTCCACTTGCATGATCAGTTCTCTGTTTGACCAAGCCATGGCGAAGGGACCGATGTTTGCTTCGGTGAAAGCCTCCAACCTAAGAGCATCCGATCGCTCCGTTGGTAGTAAGGCCAGGAGCATCCAACCTAAGTCTTTTGGATGTTTCAAGGTCAAATATTCCTTCTTGGGAGGGGTGTATTACGCGCAAATGAGACAGGAGTTGTGACAAAATCCTGACTCTTGAAGCAGGAATGAAACTACTGCCAATATCCTCTAGTAGCGTCCGATCGCTCCGTTCGTAGCGATGCCCTTTGTTCCTAGTAGTTTCTTGTTCCTAGTAGTAAGGCCAGGAGGCAAAATGAGTTGCCTAAGTTACAAAAAGTAACCAAGTCGTCTTGTCTTGTCGGAGCTGAGGAATGCTGGACGGCGGTTGGGTGTCGCCACATGATCATGGCGGTTGGATATCACTCAATACCCTCGTGGCACTTTTGATAATAGAAAATCGAGTAAAAGTCTGGTGGAGCAATGTCCATCACACCTTGGTGTGCCGGACCCCGATGTAAAACTTTTGAGACATCACACCAAAGCGGCAGCGCCCGGAATTCTGTAACCAATGTACTATCTCTCACGCGTTTTTGTTTGTACCGGAATTATGCCGGCACATTCAAAAAAACACGAAGGAAAAAATAAACGAGTGCATTGTACATGTTGTGATGTGTTTCTTCCAAACTCAGTACTGCCTTCAAGCCCGAAGCCTTAATGAAGTGCATTCTGTTTAGAAAGCATATTTGACAGTAATGGTTCTGAACATCAATGACACGAACAAACCATGTCAACTGCTCATTTGATGCCTTGTCTCCAAACCAACTATAGTGGTACAATTCTTTGGTTTGTTTACATTATCTGCCTTGGGGCACCCTGTCACAAGTTTCATTGAGGTTTGTTTCAATCAACAACTCTGGTTTAAAAAATGCGGAAACTGGTAACGGGCAGCTGAACCTCTTTTCTCGCGACCGAGACGAAAGCTCAAGTGAAACACAAACAAAGTCGAAATGTTCCATGGTATATCTTCTCCGATTTGCGCGTGTCTTCCGAAGCTCTGGCGATAGCGGGCCGATCAGACACTTGGCACCTGACAATGCTTGGCTCTTTGTCTTTGAACCGGCTGAAGTGAAAATGCATAATGCAACAAACATCAAGCGTCATCGAAATCCAAGGGAAATCTCACACTCGTAACTTTTTTTTGTTGATTTTGTTGCTTTTGCGCATCAAGAACAATCTTGCGAGCTTGCCGCTGCAATCGTTTCTTTTCCTTCAACTGTCTGTTTTCTTCTGTCTGCACCAATGTCATCATGCCGCTCCTCAGAAACTCTTGCAAAACAGTCTTATCTGTATTGGCCTTGGTCAACACATTTGCAATGTTCTGCATCCCGTCAATCCAACGAACCTTTGCGTTCGGCTGTCGAACTGTTTCTCTGAGTAAAGCGCCCTCTATGGCCATTCGTTTATCCGTTGAAGTGCTTGTTGCATCCTTCTGAAGGTAATCGAAAACGGATTTGGCATCAGTCACATAAACACGCTACCGCTTGTGAATAATGGATGGCCAATCCTTCAAATTCAACTCACCTGAAAGTGCTTCCTCAAGCAAACAACAACACCAATCTCCTGCCTCAACTGCCTCCGCAAGGTGTGAAGCTTCTGCTGCCAATGTGGAACGACACACGCGTTTTGTTTGACTGCTATGGAAGGCAAGGATCACTGCTTTGGCTGGTTTGTCTTCAAGGATCTCTGGGTTGGACAAAAGCAAGAAATATCCTCCAACACTCCGATACCGCAGAATGCCATCCTTCTCCGGTGTCCCATTTGCATGACCGGAATCTGCAAGATGTATGAGAACACCATTCCGCAAGTCAACATCGCTCCAGTAGCGCATCCTGAAGTCTGCACCTCTTCTGGCGCTTGCAAGATATTGTTTTAAACGAATCAAGTCCTCAACACACGCAGTCGACTTGGCACGCTGAATGACCCCGTTCTCAAAGCACAGGTCACAACGCAGTTGCCTTGTCAACCAACCAAGCTCTCCAGCACCTGATTGAAACGCCTGAAATTCCTCCTCCGTCAGCGGACTGTCAGGCTGCTTCCTCCGGTGGGCATCAACTTTAATGCTCCTGGTGCTTAGAGAGTAGTTTCTCATCGAAACATCTATATGGTTCTCCTTGTGTTGCTTGATCTCGCGGCCTCGGAAAACAAACTCTCGAAAATGGTTTGTAGCGAACTCCAATGCTTTGCTTGAATGTTGACACGCTGATTCAATGCTGTCCGGGTGAACACCACCCTCAACATCATCAACATGTGTCACAAGAATGCCACGCAATTGATTGTTGTCACCACGCAAGAAAAACAATGCAGGTTCTAAACGACTTTCAGTCCAGCCATCGGACTCCAAATAACCCTTCAAGGCTACCCAGAACATGCGTGCCGCTTCACTGAATCCATAGATTGCTTTCTTTGCCTTAAGCAACTGCGTCGGCTTCAGATTTCCAAGTCCACCCTTCGGCGGAGAGAGGTAGATCTCTCGATCAAGCGACCGTCCAGAAAAATATGCATTCTTGACGTCCTTGCTGATCATTGTGAAATTCAGAAATGCCGAAACTGCAAGACAAATGGATTCTGCCAACGCACTCGCTGTGGGTGCATCACGTCTGTAAAAACCCAAAGACTTGTCTTTGAATCCCTGCGCCACAAGGCGTGACTTGGCAACAAACGACTGACCTTCAAGCCCTTCTGCTTTGTTTGTACGAACCCAACGTGTTGGAATCACAAGATCCGGATGGTCTGATCGAATTTTCCTGCTAGTGACATCATCAAGTATTTCTATTGCACCCTTATCAATCCAAGCATGCCATTCGCGTTCATCTGAACCGCCTGGTCCAATAAACAACTGTTGAAGCTCCTCCGACAGATCTTTCAGGAAAATTTCCTTTCTCCCACGCTTCTTCGTCGAAGCTGTGCCTTGCACCACACCTAAAGCTGCATCATACATTGCACAGTATTTGTCATCGAAAACGTTTCGCTCAAAAGCAAATCGAAAGTCTTTCCAAGAAACATTCAACTCTGCATATGCTGTGGCGTGTCTCCAATAACTGTGCTCTGCTGCATGCAACAAATAACCTGGCTGTTCAACCACGGCATAGGCAAACAACGAA